TATATTAAATATTAAAGTTTGTTAAAATAGAATTTTTGTGCAAGGTGGCTCTCCCAACCAACCACAAAATTCACTTTTTTTTTTAAATTTCCAATTATGGAAGCACCAAAAATGAAGAATTTTGAGCTCTAAACGTCTGCTCTCCCACAATTCAACTGCGGAGCAAAATTCCTAGAAAAACAGGAAAGCAAAAAATTCAGTAACGCACCTTACGGCCCTCCCACCTTCCTTTCCAGCTGTGGTTTTGCAGCCGTAATTCCTGGTTTTATTCCGTCTCGTTATCAGCCGGGCGTGTCATTTGCTAACGAACCCGGCCAATGGCAGCTGCACGCTGCCGTAAATGGCTTTAATTTTTAATTTATTTTTTTTTAAAGGTTTACAGTTTCGCTGATTCTGCAGAGCGTCCAATGCAGGCGTTTCCCTGAATTACAGTACTACGTGATAAAATATAAATTAAAAAAAAATAAATTTCTGAGGGTTTATTGCCCATTTGCAGTGAGCCACGATTACCTGAAATTAAGGCATCAAAATTAGAAATAAAATTAGAATTAAAATGACATGGAGGCACTACAAATAAAATTAGAATTAAAATTAGGATTAAAAATGAAATCAGGTGATTAAAATTAAATTTAGAATTAGAATTTTAGAATTAGAACTAGAATTAGAACTAGAGTTAGAATTAAAATTAATAGAACTAAAATTAGAATTTAAAATTAAAATTAAAATTAAAATTAAATTAAAATTAAAATTAAAATTAAAATTAATTTAATTAAATAAAGGCATCATAAAGGCACCCTGGGTAAATCTCCACCCTCCTCCAGGACACAGGCACCCCCAAAATTTGCCTCTTTTGCACAGAAATTACAGAACACCTAACCAGGGACTCAGGAAATGAAAAAAATAATCAAAAGAAGAAGAGTAAGAATAAAAGTAATAGTAGTAATAATAGTAATAGTCATAATAATAATACTATGAATACTGTAAAATTAATAATAATATAATAATAATATAATAATAATAATAATAATAATATAATAATAATAATAATGACAATGACAATGACAATTATAAAAATAATAATGGTAATTATTATTATGGGCTGCTCCAGGAATTGCCGTGAATCACCTGATAAAAATTCTGAAAAATATTTTGATTCTAAAACGAACTGAAAAAAAAATAAAAAATGGGGGTTTTCTGACCAAAAAGTGCGCTTTTTGGGCCAGGAGCGGAGGCCAGCGGGAAGGAGGCCCAGGAAATCCCGCAAACCTCGGTGTTATCTCTGAGCCTTCGTTAGGGCCGAGATAACGAGCGGGGCGGTCACGTGGCCGGACAGCCCCGGGAGGTTTATGGCCGATGAAGGCCCGGCCCCGGTCGCCTTGGAGGCCCCCTGGAGGCCACGAGGGGGGGTGTAAAGGGAGGACGCGAAGGCTTGGCATGATCGCATTTATCGGAGGGAGGAGAACGTGAAGTGGTGGGGGCGGGGCGGGGGTGTAGAGCTCCATGGCCATGGGTACAAAGCTTCATGGTCATGGTCATGGGTGTAGAACTTCACGGTCATGGTCATCATGGTCATGGGTGCAAAGATTCATGGTCATGGTCATGGGTGTAAAGGTTCATGGTCATGGTCATCATGGCCATGGGTGTAGAGCTTCATGGGCATGGATGCATGGTAGAACTTCGTGGTCATCATGGTCATGGTCATGGGTCTAGAGCTTCATGGTCATGGGTATAGAGGTTCTTGGTCGGCCATCGGTTGTAGAGGTTCATGGTCATGGTCGTCACGGTCATGGGTGCAAATTCTATGGCCATGAGTGTAGAGCTTCATGGGCATGGGCATGGGTGTAAAGGTTCATGGTCATGGTCATCATGGCCATGGGTGTAGAGCTTCATGGGCATGGGCATGGTAGAACTTCGTGGTCATCATGGTCATGGTCATGGGTCTAGAACTTCATGGTCACGGTCACTCATGGTCATGGGTATCAGAGGTTCATGGTCATAGTCATGGTTGTGAGGTTCATGGTCATGGTCATCGTGGTCATGTGTGCAAAAGTTCATGACCATGGGGTAGAGCTTTCATGGGGCATGCGTACGATCTTTTCGTGGTCATCACGGTCATGGTCATTGGGTCTAGAACTTCATGGTCATGGGTCATCATGGCCATGGGTAATATGAGTTGTTCTTGGCTGGGTGCAGAAGCCATGGGCATGGGGTGTAGAAGCTTCATGGTCATCTACGGTCATGGTCATGGTGTCTAGGAGTTCATTGGTCATGGCCATATGGTCATGGGTGGTAGAGTGTTATCATGGTCTTACTTGTAGCACCTTCATGGTCATAGCGTCTTTTGGTCATGGGTGCACGTACCCCTCACTACTTTCATGGTCTCTATTTTCCTGGTCGGGAGAAGGGGCCTGTGGTCAGTACCAATTCATTGGGTCATTTCCAGGGGGCTCGGGTCCATGGTCATCGGTGCTATCCCCCCTGAAGGGTCTGGCTCAGCTGGTCATCAATGGGCATGGGTGTAGAGGTTCATGGTCATCTCTTGATTCTTACAGACCCTCCTTTGTCCCTCTCCTTCCTCGTTCTGGGGGGTCCCCGTCCTTTTGGGGATCCTCATGGGCATGGTAGGGTTCTTCATGTTTTCCCCTCATGCGTCTTATTGGTTTTATTGGGCTGGAAAGGTTGCTGTCACTACTCCAGCACGTGTGCTTGACATGACAGACTGATTTTTTTTTTTTTTTAATTGCTTTATATAAAGTTGATTTTATCTCCATTTGAGGCTACGCGGAACTAACTTGAAAATTTCTGGTTTTTTTCAACATGGGGTTGGGATGATCGACGCATCAGGTGCTCCATTTGGAGACATTTATAAGTCAGGAAGGAAGCAATTGATTTGTCTTTATACCAAAATCAATGCTTTTTTTTTTTTTTTTTTTCATTATTTTTAATGTTTTTAAAACATTACTTCAATGCTAAAAAATTTTAAAGCCGAAATTTTAAAAACATTATTTGCTTTAAAACCCTCCTCAACCTATGACCTTTTTTTTTTATCCCATCTGCCAAGGCAATAATTTCTTTCAAAAACTTAATTTGCTGATGGCTTTAAGGAAGAACGAATATCCCCAAATCCTCCTTTTTAATTTATTTTCGGAACTAATGAGCAAATTCCTAGTTTCAGTCCCCAAAAAGTCTTGTTGGCACCCAACTGACCTGATAGGATGTTCGGAGATGGAGCTGAGGGATGGGAAGTGTTTTATAGGGTTTTTGGTGGCTGCACCTCGTGTGTTTTCGTAAACTGTATGATAGGGGATTTATTTGTGGAAAAATTCACCTTTTTTGCTTTGTTTCGGACCAGAACCTGTGCGACCTCCGTGGCTGCTGCTGGAGCCCCCAGGATGACACCAGCGTGCCCTGGTGCTACTTCTCCTCCAACCACGGCTACCAAACGGGGGGGCAACTGCAGTCGACTCCACAGGGTGAGTTCACACACCAAGAACTGGGAAAACACCGATCCCAATAAATTCAAAAATTTTATGCTTTATTTATTTTAATTCCCCCACCCCAAGGGTTCCAAGTTTTGTTGAACCGGCTCTCCGCACCGTCACTTTTTGGGAACGACATCGACACCGTGCTCCTCACGGGAGAATATCAGACACAAAATCGCTTTCACTTCAAGGTGAGTTTTTCCCAATTTAATGTTTTTGTTTTGTTTTATTTTATTTTATTTTATTTTATTTTATTTTATTTACTTTACTTTACTTTACTTTATTTTATTTTACTTTACTTTATTTTATTTTACTTTACTTTATTTTATTTTATTTTACTTTATTTTATTTTATTTTATTTTATTTTATTTTATTTTATTTTATTTTATTTTATTTTATTTTATTTTATTTTATTTTACTTTATTTTATTTTATTTTATTTTATTTTATTTATTTTATTTTATTTATTTTATTTTACTTTACTTATTTTATTTTACTTTACTTTATTTATTTATTTATTTACTTATTTATTTTATAAAACTTTGGCCTGGGTGGTGCACAAGGGATACTCTACAAGATTATAACGGAATTAATTTAATTGGGTAATAAATCCTCTTTCTTGTCCTGTGGCTCCTACCAAAAATTAGCACTCCTGGTGCTTCTAATGAAAAAATTTGGACCAGGAGAAGCCTTTCTTGTACCCGGAGGAGCAATGGGTACAAAATCCTTAACACAGCAACATTCATGCAGAAAAAAAATCCCCTCAAAATAGAATTTTTTATCCTCCTTCCATTTTTTCCCCCTTTTCATCAGAAAAAGAGCTTTGGCTAAGTACTTTTATTCATTTTATTATGTGCTGTAAAATTCAGTGGCCATTGGTGGATTTTGAGCCTGGGCTGGACTTTTCCTGCCCTATTTTTGTCTCCTTTTTTTTTAATTTTCTGGGGGGGGGAAGGAAGGTGTTTGCCACACATTTTCCTGCCAGAAATGTGGAATTTGGGGTGGGTTTGGCTATAACCAGCCAATATAGGACGTCCAGAAAGACTGGAAATGCCAAAAACTGTTATTATTCAGAATTTGAGCATAATTCTCCTTTGTAGAGGAGATGATGGGAAATATCTTATTTATTAATATCTTCATATTTTTATATGAATATATATCTGGCCCCAGTCAGATAACCTCCGAACTGGTCCCTAAGGCCCCTTCCATCCACGATTCCCAGTCCATCCCAGTCAGATCTCTTCCATAACTGGTCTCATCAGACGTTAAATCTGGGAAGTGTTAAATTCATTAATGTTTAACGTCCCGGTGTTCCTTTACAGATCACTGACCCCAAAAACAAAAGGTTTGAAGTCCCCCATGAGCACGTGGTGCCCTTCACCGGATCGGCGGCCTCCGATTTAAAATACAAAGTCGATGTCGAGAACAATCCCTTTAGCATCAGGGTGACCCGAGTAAGCAACGGAAAAGTCCTGTGAGTAACTTCGGAGCTTTTTATTTATAATATTCTGACATCAGCTTCTTTTTTTTTTTTTTGGTTGGTTGGTTTGCTTTATTTTATATTATTTTATATTATTTTATATTATTTTATTTTATTTTATTTTATTTTATTTGATTTATCTTGTTTGATTTATTTTGTTTTATTTGTTTTTATTTTATTTTATTTTTGATTATTTTATTTTATTTTATTTTATTTTATTTTATTTTATTTTGATTTATTTTATTTTATTTTATTTTATTTTATCTTATTTATTTTATTTATTTTATTTTATTTTATCTTATTTTATCTTATTTTGAACGTATGGTCACATTGGGTGCTCTTTCGGGCGTGCCAACTCCTCCTTTTCTTCTTTAGCTGGATGAACAGCATGGAAATATTCTTTCAATGTAAAATTGGAAATATTTTCAAAATTCGGGCGATGGGGAGCTCCATCTCACAGGGTCACCTTTTGCCCTGTTGCCTCCGCCCCCTCTTTTCCCCTTAATCTTGGGGAAATCTTCACAGCTACTTTGTGCCATAAATTCAGGGCATTTAGTCCTCGGTTCCTCGATCATTACAAATCCTGGGCAGCACTTAAAATCACTATATTTTTATACATATTTGGTCTTAATTACGCTCATTCTGCAATTCTCAACCATCAATATCAGGCCGGGCCTTATACGATACGGGATTTTTTCCTACCAGCCAGCAGTAAGTTATTTCTAGTGAAATAGAATAAAATATGAAAATCCCTTTATTTCCTTAGGAAAAATAAAAAAAAACAACACCCAAACATGAGCTAAACCTAAACCAACACCGGGGCCCGTTAAAAGGCGGAAGCACCTGGAGGAAATATTTATTAAACCAATTAAACCAGCCTGACCACTAGCAACTCTTCCAGTTTAATTAGCTAGGATTGGCTTTCGTCCTCCGGGCTTTGTATTGTTTGCTTTGTTAAAAGCCTTTCTAGGGACTAATTTGCCGTTAATTACAGGGCTGGTGTTCAGGAAGCCACCTCTGATTTAATTGGGGTGTGGAGGGGGAGAACGCGTCATTTAATCCAGGGGGACCCGCTTGAAACAACACTCCGGAGGGTTGTTTCTATTACCCGTAGTCTTTTTATTTAAATAAGAGCAAAACAAAGTCATTTTTAATAAAAGAAAAAAAAAAAACCAACACACCACTAATGAATTATTGTTTAAACACGCAGTATTTTTAGTGTGGTATGCCAAAAAAAAAAAAAAAAAAAAAAAAAAAAAGGTTTTGTCTGTAATACGACGCACCAAGCGACAAAATCACTTTCTTCAAAAATTCAAATTCGAATTTTCTTTTTTTTTGAAATCAATGGGTTGGGATTTTATTTATTTATTTATTTATTTATTTATTTATTTATTTATTTATTTTATTTATGTATTTATTTATTTATTATTTATTTATTTATTATTTATTTATTTTATTTATGTATTTTATTTATTTATTTATTTATTTATTTATTTATTTATTTATTTATTTATTTATTTTGCATTCAACGACGCCAACGGACCTGACCTTCCCGTTTTATCCCCCAAATTTCCCCCCCCCCCAGGTTCAACACCTCCATCGGCCCGCTGGTGTACGCCGACCAATTCTTGCAGCTCTCCACGAAACTCCCCAGCAGCAACGTCTACGGCGTGGGCGAGCACGTGCACAAGCAATTCCAGCACGATGTCAACTGGAAAACCTGGCCCATGTTCAGCCGGGACTCTGCCCCTTCGGGAGTAAGCAAATTTTATTATATTTTCTTTGGGCAAATCCTGCGGTCCAGACATATGGCATGTTTGGCACCTCGCCAACATTTATTTTATTTTGTTTTGGTTTATTTTGTTTTCTTTTATTTTGTTTTGTTTTATTTTATGTTTATTTTGTTTTTATTTTATTATTTTATTTTATATTTATTTTGTTTTTATTTTATTATTTTATTTTATATTTATTTTGTTTTTATTTTATTATTTTATTTTATATTTATTTTGTTTTTATTATTTTATTTTATGTTTATTTTGTTTTCATTATTTTATTTTATTTTATTCTGCGCTGAGTGCTGCGTGTGATTGCCAAAAGGTAGATACAACCCAGTAAAATTGCCGGTGGAATAGCTTTTGGTCAATATTTGCAGTGATTTGGTCAATTTGTGCCGTATTGTAACACGCTGCCCTATCAGCTCGTGAGCATCTAAATCTCACACTGTTTTTTTTTGCTGATAAAAAGAATAAAAAACAGCTTGGCTGTGCATCGCCACATGCAAAACTCGGCCGGTAAAACACTTTCCCTCGTTGCTCAGGAAATAACGCATTTGGCAGCTGTTGATTTACAAAAAATAATAACTCTATCAGCTGTTCATGGTTTTTTCCTACTTATTTTCCACCCCACTTTATTTATTTATTTATTTATTTTCTCCACGAATTGATCCAGTTTCCAAGAAGCAGATTATTGCTTTTTTTTAGTTTGGATTCCCGTTCGGAATATATTTTCGTTTGTTCCTTTGGGTGAAATAGTCAAACGATTATCGCTGCAGTTATTCCTAGCTTTTGGCCTTTTTGAGTAAAAAGGAAATATCTGCTAGAGTGTGCTAGACAACGCAATATTGCAAAAATTAAAAATACATAAATAAATAAACAATAATTACATTTCTGATATAATTTCTGGCACGTTAAAGTTATATCGATGCAGCACTGATCCTTTTGTTGAAATAGGATTCAGGAGAATGGCTCAGTACTTACAAATAATTATTATTTTTTAAAATATTGAAATATCGCCTATGGGCTGTTACTTCTATTTTTCTTTTTCAGCCCAAAACTAAGGCACTTTGCATTTGCCTACAACCAAATGCATTGTAGAAATTTTTGTGTTTATTTTCTTTCCATCCCTGGTAGAATTTATAATCTTCATCCTTTTAATAATTGTAAATCAGAGGTTTAAGATCTTATCTGTATGGCTCCAAGAGAGACCAGTTTTCCTCGAATTTGGGCTTTCGTTGAATTTTGAGCAAATTTTACATTCCCATTTTGAGAAGCTTAACCTTGCAGGTGATACATTTTTTGAGAGATTGTTTTTTTTTTAATAATCTTTTCTGTTTTCCTTCAAGAACATGGATAACTTATACGGCGTCCAGACTTTCTTCTTGTGTTTGGAAGACACGAGTGGAGCCTCTTTTGGTGTTTTCTTGATGAACAGCAATGCCATGGGTAAGCACGCCTTCTCCACAGCAAAAAAAAAAAAAAAAAATCCTTTTTTTCTATGATCTGCAGGGCTATTGCACTGCAAAGCTGCAGATTTCAGTTTTTAAAGTTTTTAATATCCTGTTAAATTTTGAAAGGAGTTGTCTTAAAATGTGTGAAAGCAGTCATTAGGGCAAGGATTTCCTTGCATATAATAATAATTATAATATTATAATATAATATTATAATATTATAATATTATAATATAATATAATAATATATTATATAATAATATAATATTATAATATTATAATATTATAATTATTATATATAATTCATTATTATTATTATTATTATTATTATTATTATTAGCATTATTATTAGCATTATTATTATTATTAGCATTATTATTAGCATTATTATAAGCATTATTATAATAATAACCATTTATTATTATTTGAGCTATGCAAATAGCTCACAGTTATTAAGGTTTTGTTGACCCCTGCCATACACCCAATGGACATTTTCGTTTGGGGTCAGGGATGTTTTGCTACAAGACATTTAAAAGCAGAACTTAAATTTAAAATTAAGTTTAAACAGCGCTTTCAAATATATGCCCTTAATTTTCCTTCATTAAGGCAAACTGTGCTTATTTTCCTTAATTAAGGAAAATGGTGCTTATTTGGATGCTGAAGTGAAATATTCCAGTGTCTTGAGACTGAAAATTCAATGAGAAGGATTTCTTGTTTCGGACTGTAAAGGAAAGTAAATAGAAACATTTTAAAAATTAAGATAATTAACATTTTTAGAAGGAGCTGAAAACTTTACATTTTAAGTAATTTATCTTTTAATTTATCTTTTATATTTTTCATTTTAAGTAATTTATCTTTTGGGTTTACTTGACTTTTTCCATCTCATATCATCATAACAGTTACTGGAGATTTAGGAAACATCCCATCCCATTTTTGTGTGTTTTTTGGCTTGCAGAGTTCGCCCTACAACCGGCGCCAGCAGTCACTTACAGAACAATTGGCGGAATTCTAGATTTTTATGTCTTCTTAGGTGACACTCCCGAGCAAGTGGTGCAGGAGTACGTGAAGGTAGGCGTCCACCCTCAGGGGCCCTGGGCGGTTCGGTTTTGGTAATTCTGTTTTAGGCAGGGTTGATTTTTGGCCAGATGTTCTCCAACCTTTGGCTTTGCTCTTCAAAAATCAGCATTATTGATGTTTGGTTCATAATCGCGTTGAGTGTCGCGACGTCGAGCGGTGAACGTTGAACGTTAAAATTCCGAGCATTAAAATATTAAATAAAAAATTGTTAAATATTATAATTATTTTTAAAAAGAGCTTACTCTTTTAAGGATAACAAAATAATTCAATGGGTATCAATGGATACGTCGTTCTTGGCATCAGCATTTGCTTTTGGCTGTTTTTTGGGGGGAAAAAAATTAGGAAAACTTCACAGTTGAAGGGGGTTACATCAAATGTGGCTTCTCATGCTCCAGCTGAATCCCTCTGAGGAGTGCAAATTTAGGGAATCGGACCCAAAAATCTCATCCTTTTTTTTTTTTGGTTTTAATTTCCAGCTGGTCGGAATGCCGGCGTTGCCTTCCTATTGGGCTCTGGGTTTTCAGCTCAGTCGCTACGATTACGGGTCTCTGGACGAGGTGAAGGCGGTTGTGGAGCGGAACGTAGCAGTTGATCTCCCTTTCGTGAGTAAAAATGTGGCTTTTCATGGCGAAATTGAGCAGAAACAACCAAAATAGCTTGTTTTCCCAACATCTGAAAACAACCAAAATAACTTGTTTTCCCAATATCCGAAAACAACCAAAATAGCTTGTTTTCCCAACATCTGAAAACAACCAAAATAACTTGTTTTCCCAATATCTGAAAACAACCAAAATAACTTGTTTTCCCAATATCCGAAAACAACCAAAATAGCTTGTTTTCCCAATATCCGAAAACAACCAAAATAGCTTGTTTTCCCAACATCTGAAAACAACCAAAATAGCTTGTTTTCCCAATATCCGAAAACAACCAAAATAGCTTGTTTTCCCAACATCTGAAAACAACCAAAATAACTTGTTTTCCCAATACCTGAAAACAACCAAAATAGCTTGTTTTCCCAATATCTGATTTTCTGATGCTCTCAGAAGCCACAGAACATCAGCATCAAGAGGCATTTTTTCCCCAGTTTCATGAAAAAAAAAAACAAGACTGGTGGATAACCATTAAAAATAGACACCTGCATCCAGTTGATTGCATCAGTTGCTTTTCCAGAAATTTTAATCAAAATGCAGCACATCCCGGAGTCAAATATTGCTTCTTTTCTTTCAGGACGTTCAATACACAGACATTGATTACATGGAAGCAAGGAAAGATTTTACTTACGACCAAGAGAAATTCGCAGAGCCTCCCTAAGTTTCGAAATTATCTGCAAGGCTATAATAAAAAATATGTTCTCATACTGGTAAGCATTATATTATATTTATATTATATATATTTATATAATTTATATATTATTATATATATTATTATATATTATATTATATATTATTTATATTATATTATATATTATACTTATTATATTATATTATATTATATTATTTATATTATATTATTGGTAATAATTATAATCACGTTTTACTATGACATTGCATCAAATACATAATATTATATATTTATGTATTTTTCAAAAGAAACAAATTATTTTTCCTTCTTAAATAATATCAGGATAATTGAACATTGCTACAGTTGACATCCTTAGAGTTGCTGGGCTCAGTAACAGCGGGTGCACATTTTCTGTAGTTTTGGAATTTTATTTCCATTTTTTTTTAGGATCCAGCTATTAGCACTGAGCCTCTTAAAAACGGTTCGGACTACCCAGCCTATCAGAGGGGAGAAAGCAGTAAAGTTTGGATTAACGGATCTGATGGTGCTCCCTTAGTTGGCGAGGTAAGGAAATACTTCAATTTTTTCGCAGTTTTCCGTACATTAGGTCAAAAGGAAAAGAACCATTTTAAAAGGCCAGTAAACATCGGTTTATTTTCAATTATTTTCAATTATCACCTAGCAATTTCCCCTTTAGCGCTTTGAAATTTTCTTTAGAACAAGTTTACAAATGCAGCTGCTTACGGCACAATTTTGCACAACTTAATTTTGACTTAAAACTGACTTTTGAGCTGAAAACTCAAGACATTGACTTCTTTCTGAGTGCAAATTCTTTTGCAATCCATATCTCAAAAGTTTTCTCCTGATGGCTGTAAAAACACTGTCCTGCAAAAATAATTCTCAGTTTTAATACCCAGAATGTTTCATTTTTTTAATTTTTTAATTTTTTAATTTTTTTTCCTTTTATTTAGGTGTGGCCAGGCAAAACCGTCTTCCCAGATTTCACCAGTCCCACCTGCACCAGCTGGTGGGTGTCAGAATGTCAGATGTTTCACAGCAAAGTGCCATATGATGGACTCTGGATTGTAAGGAATTCACCCTTTTTAAATTATTTTTGTAAAAAGAAAAAAAAAAAATCAGTTTTATGGCTCAATGGGTTGTTTTATTCTGCGATGAATTTGGAGAAAGGTTTATTGTGACTAACCTGAAATCCATGCAGGATTTGTACATCTCTTCTGTAGTTTTGATTTTTTTTTAATTTAATTTTAATTTAAAGTTTGTAATTTAAAAACTTACATTTTTACCCTAATGCATTGGATACTTGCTTCCTTCAGTCAAGGCATATTCAGTATAATTTTATTTATCAAAGAATTTATGACCGTGATCATAATTCCTACGGTAGCTTTTATTTTTAATGAGCTATGCTTTTAGGTGGAGAAAAAGTGAACACCTTTTGTAGGATTTGGGATTTTTACGGGGTAAGGACATTTTTCTTTTCAGGCTGGAACATGCAGCCCGTGGGTTGTTTTTATTTTGTGCAAATATTTGGGATTTTGTAGAAAAACAAGGCAGGATTTGGGAAAAGCTGTAATTTCTCCAGTTTGGGTGAAATCCTACCATCACCGCTTTGTTCCAAATTCATCATTTTGACCTTCAGAAAGACTTTTTTTTTGATGATTTCGTACATCGGTGTCGTGGCTGCTGGAGGAAATAATAAATATTATTTTCTGTGCTTCTTGTGGTCAGCAGCTACAAGTCACTTTGCAATGACATACATGTCATTGGCTGAAAATCCAAAAAAAAGTATCGGTGTTGGGAATGTTTTAGCTTCAATTTGAAACTGGAATTTGCCTTTTTTATTTTATTTTATTTTATTTTATTTTATTTTATTTTATTTTATTTTATTTTATTTTATTTTATTTTATTTTATTTTATTTTATTTTATTTTATTTTATATTTTATTTTATATTTATTTTATTTTATTTTATTTTATTTATTTTATTTTATTTATTTTTTTATTTTCAGGATATGAACGAAGTAGCCAGCTTTGTTCACGGCTCAAGTAAGGGTTGTGAGCAGAACGAATTAAACTACCCACCTTACACGCCCCGTAAGTCTGCCTTTAGAAAACAAAAATCAAAATCTTTTAGCAAAAAATCTGTGGGATAATTGTGTTATCAGTTAAAAGGATACAGAGGGATTTTACTGTGGGTTTTATGGATTTTTTGAGTACTTTTATCGACTGAAAGTACAAATATACCAAATGCCAGGTCAAAGATGTGGTTTATATGGCTCACTAGAAAATATCTTGGTTTACACCCACCAGAATAATAAATGAAGGTTGTCAGTGTGTTAATTGTGTATAATAATTGTACCTTTTGTTGTTTTATTACCATCTATATCGCCTACTATTTCAATGTCAATAATTAGAGGTGCAGGCAATGATAAAGTGGAACTGAAATTCTTTATCAAGCCAGACCTTTGATCATTGCTGGACAATGGTCATGGCCACGTCAAATGGTTCAGAAATTTTGGGGTGTAGTTTTCGGGCGAGTCCTTCCTGGTGCTGTGAAATCCAGCTTGAAGCTGGATTTAATCTTACTTAAATCGAAAATTTGGTGTACGTGCAGCCTCAGGATGGTAAATCCCACCCCATTGGCAAAGCTTAGGAGTGTGTAGGGAATTATTTAATTTTCTATGTGGATTGCTGTGAGATACAGAAAGTTTGAAGGCAGAAAACATCTTTGTGTTTAATTAAAAGTAAATCGATTAAATTCAGTCCATTAAAATGCATTTCCCAAACTGCTTTGTCACAGAAATTCTTGACCGAGTCCTGTATTCCAAGACGCTCTGCATGGATGCAGTGCAGAACTGGGGGAAACAATACGATGTCCACAACCTTTTTGGATACTCCATGACTCTGTCAACACAAGAGTAAGGAAGGCTTCTTAACATCCTCAAATTAAAAAATAAAAATAAAATTAATAATAATCAGAGTATCATAGAGCCATTACGGTTGGAAAAGACCTTCAAGAGTAGAGGCCAATGCCCTTCAATTTTGGGCAATTCACTTCCCAAGGAACCCAATCCTGGGGATCAATACGAATCGTCAAACTTCTGCATCTCCAATCTTTCTACAGTGGGCATTCAAAATCGCATTTTTGAAATTAAAATTAATTTTTTGAGTCAAAATTCAAACCCCTAGCATTGGGTTTTGGTGACGCAGTTCTGTGCAGAGAGCAAAGCTGAAAGGAGACCCAGGCTTTGTTATTTAGAGTTAAAATGTGAAGAAGGCTGGCAGGCAAAAGCAAAAGGGTTCTTTAAGGTTAGTGAAATTAACGATGCTAGTGAAATTAATAAAAAATAATAATCTAGTTAATAGACACCTTAAAAATTAGGGGAGTCTGTGTCCTTTACTTATTTATCATGGTAAATCAGTGAATGTAAGTGTAGGTAGATCTACTCAGCTCCATACCCAATTTATTCTTTGCCTAATTCCACCTTTCTTTGATTTTTATTTATTTATTATTTTTTTTTTCAGAGCCATCAAAGCCATATTTCCTGGGAAACGAAGCTTCCTTCTTTCAAGGTCTACTTTTGCGGGGTCTGGGAAGTACGCGGGGCACTGGCTGGGAGACAACGCCGCCACGTGGGATCAGCTCAAATGGGCGATTCCCGGAATGCTGGAATTCGGGCTCTTTGGAATCCCTTATGTAAGAAACGGTCATTTTTGGTACCTTTTTACAACAAAATGTTTAAATTATGCTTGATATGTATAAGCCCATCTGCATAAACGTCTTTTTGTAGAACCGTGGAATGGTTTTTGTTGGAAAGGGCCTCTAAAAATCATGGAGTTCAACCTAATTCCACCTTTCAAAGCTTTAAATTAATCCCCCTGGGAGACTATTTAAATATTTTCTTCCCAGGAATAACTGATTTTATCTTTCCAGGATGTGGGCATTTTTCTTTGAATTTCTGTGACCTTGGTACTATCATGCTAATTTATGCATATTAGCACCAATGAGCAGTGTTAGCTCAGAGTTGGTTTAACTTTCTGTAGGACTTATATTTGAATAATTCTAATTCCACGTGCACAGAATTTGGGCTGAAAAATATTTACTGAAAAATCAATTTCAACTGGCTACTTTGTGTAATATCTCCAGAATTCTGGGGTTCAAATAGAAGAAAACACAATGAAAAATATAAAATTTAGGTACAGATGAGAGATTTGGAGAAATGGGATGTAGAAATGAGATGAATGGCTCTGTGACCCCGGGCATCAATTAGGGATGAACAGAAAATCTCCGTATCTTTAGAGGATTTTTGGTAGAGATGCGTTGTGTGCTCAACACATTCTGGTTTTATTTTAAGATTGGAGCAGATATTTGTGGTTTCTTCGATGACGTCTCTGAAGAACTTTGCCGGCGATGGATGCAAGTAGGAGCATTTTACCCATTTTCCAGGAATCACAATACAGAACTACGCCAAGTAAGTTGTGCATCCTGTTACAAAGACTCATCTTGTGATAAATTATCACATTTCTGTTCTGGTAGTTAACACTCAATTAAATTCAGAATCTATGAAAATAAATTCAGAATTCTGAAAAACAGATTTCTACCAACAAGAGTTAAACAGTAGGCTGGTTTGAAATTGGTGCCACCTTACGCTTAGGAAATCCTTTCTGCAAATAATTTAGGGTTCAGAAAGGTTTAGCTTTGTAAGGATTAATTGTAGGCACCAGAGAATATGCTTGGTGAATATGAGAATATGCTTTACAAAAATATGATTTTTGTAAATCAAATTTCATCCCCGTTGGTGTCCACAAATGCGTTGTGCTTGCCACAACGTCCTGATTTTTGGCAGCACCCCATAGACCACAGAAATTAAAATCGTTTATTGGTTACTTTCAGCCCCAGGACCCTGCCTACTTTGGGGCAGATTCGATTTTGGTGAAAACCTCAAAGCACTACTTGAACATCCGCTACACGCTGCTGCCCTACCTGTACACGCTCTTCTACAAAGCTCACACCCAAGGAGACACGGTGGCACGGCCGGTTTTGCACGAGTAAGTTCCCAAATCCAATTTTTTTTTTTCCCTAGAAAGAAAGAATTCTATCCCAAATCTGTTCTTTCTAGAAAGAATTCTAACCACATCTAGTTTTTGAAAGACGCTGCGCGTTGGGATACGCGCAATGTCTGAATTTTGAAATACCATTTTGGAGTAATCTGGAGAGTCATCAAATCCATCTATAATTTCTGCACACACGTAGTGATCATTTTTATCAGTTACTCTAAGAGTTGCTATGAAATTTCATTAGCAGTTTATTAAATTATTCTCTGTTAGCGTGTCTATTTTACAAATTTAATTTTCCTGCCTTTATTCCTGTTTATTTTCTTGGTATCTTAAACTACATTAAGAAACACACCCAGACTCACTTATGCACAGGCGTAATTAATGCAGACTAAATTAATAAGACTAAATTAATATTTACCTAAGATTAAGCACAATTAATGCCATTGCTTTCCTTTTTGCTTAGGTTTTATTCTGATGAAGCAACGTGGAGCGTGGACAGGCAGTTCCTGTGGGGTCCTGGCCTGCTCATTAGCCCCGTACTTGACCAAGTAGGTTTCACTGTCTCGATGTTTGATAAGATTTGATAAGATTTGATAAGATTTGATATTTGATATCTTTATATCAATCCCCATTATGAATTCCTGAGGAACCTCAAGTCAAAAATTTCAGCTTTCTTACAGTAAATTGCAGCAGAAGCCCCTTAACAAGTTGAATTCCTTGACCATCTTCCCCCCTCGTTCTTTTATTCCTTCAATTCGAAAATGCCTTCCGATTTTCTGAGGTTTGGGACAATATCGTTACTCTGCCTAAAAATAAGGAGAAAGATCGGATTTTTTTTCTCATTGTCAGCTTTATTTTGGAAATTTTGGTTTATTGGATTAATTTGCATTCAAATATGAAATTTGTCTCTGTTTTTGCCTTGTAGGGGGTGGACACAATTGAAGCGTATATTCCTGATGCTGTCTGGTACGATTATGAAACGGTAAGGAAATAGGGTACAGAAATGTGGAGAATTGCTGATTTTTAGCATTATACCATACTGATCTCTGCTGGTTTACTTTGGGACCACTGGCAGCAGTACAGATAATCTCAGGACTGAAACCTTTTAAAAAAAGGAGGGATTAAGACGAATTGAGGATTTAAGAACTAAGTCAAAAGGGAGAGTTAAGGAACTAGGAATTAAGCCAAAATAAATAAATGGCAATTAAGTATAAGGAAGAATTTGGGAATTGGGAATTAAGTAAAAGGAGGAATTAAGGAATTGGGAATTAAGTAAAAGGAAGAATTTAGGAACCGGGAATTAAGTAAAAGGAGGAGTTAAGGACTTAGGAATGAAATAAAAGGAAGAATTAAGGATTTAGGAAATAAAGAAAATGAATAATTAGGAGCTGGGAATTAAACCAAAAGGAAGAATTAAGGAACTGGGAATTGATTCTAAAGAAAAAAAAATGAGAAGAATTAAGGAAATGAGGAATTAGATTAAAAAAAAAAAAAAAAAAAAAAAAGGAAGAATTAAGAGGAAAAAGGGAATTAAGACAGCAGTGGGTGATGCAACCTAATTTTTCTTTATCCCTACCCAAAAGGGCACAAAATTGTCCGTCAGGAAGCAGAAAATGCCGCTCTACTTGCCCGCAGACAAGATGGGGCTTCACCTGCGTGGGGGCTACGTTTATCCTACCCAGCAGCCAGCGACCAACACCGTTGAGAGGTACGTCCACGGGCGGAATATTTTCTGCACTAAACTGGCAGGAAAATGGGATTTAAAGGAAGGGGCTTGAGGCCACCCGGTTTCAGGAAATAAATACATAAATAAAGCAGTATTTGGAGCATAATTATTACTTAGCAGCATTTTAGCACTATTATTATTGTTTATTGTTGTTTATTATTATTATTATTGTGTATTATTATTAGTATTTAACATTTGAAAGTTGGAAATTAAGGACAGGCACCACTGATTTTCTCAATGAAGTAATATTTCTAATAATTCACTAGAGAAGATTTTTCTCTTTTCATGATTTTTCCTTTCCTTTCCCTTTTTGCAAACTTTCAGTGGATTTTATTCTTTTACTTGAAAATCATCAAACACGTAAACCAGGGACCAACACAAGACAGTTCTCCAAGTTTTGAAGCCCCGTTGAGCTCTATACTCTTAAAATGAACATTAAAGAATTTTTATTTTATTTTATTTTGCTTTAAAGACTGTTTACTACACATCTAATTTTTTTTTATTAATGGGTGGGGTTTTGGTTTTGGCCCACAGCCGTAAGAATCCTATGGGACTGATCATTGCGCTGGATGACAACAACGAAGCCACTGGGGAGTTGTTCTGGGATGATGGAGAATCTGCGCGTGAGTCTTGATCAGCTCTTGTTAGTTCAGGAAAAACGCCCCCAAAATATTTGTAGGGTTGATGAGGGAGGGTTATTGGGTTGGAAGGGTCCTTAAAGATCGTTAAAGATGCGTACCCAAATGACTTTCAGTGGGAGCAAGACCACAAAACCCAGGCTCACCAAGAAAATTTGGTTAAAGATGAAAACTTTTACATTTCTGACCTTTTGGAATTAATTAAATTCCTGGGCAGATCTGCCAAAATGTTGTTAACAGAAAAAGTGTGCTTATCAACACAAAATTTTTAAGACAGCTGCTTCCCATGTTCATGAATTTGAATAACATACCAATATAAAAAATATATATATATTTTTTTTATTTTAATCTTGAAGTGAGGGATTTTTTGGAAAATGAAGAATGTTGATTTTTCTAAGGAGTTAGGCATTCTGAGGATTTAGGCATTCTGTTATCATTTAATTAGAAAGGATACTTAAATCCTTCAAGAGCTTTTGAAGCCTCTTTGACCTTCTTGGAATTCATGCTCCTACATCTAAGAGATATTCTGCAGCATATAATATCATGACTTGATAGGTAATTCCTAAACTTGAAAAAGCCTAAATTAAAAGTCACTGAGATTTCTGGAAAATAAAAGAATATTGACGCTCTGGGTCAATTCCACAAAAGAAGGAAATTGGCAGAATGCATTTTTTTTTGGATGTCCTTCGTTCTGTGCTGTAACCAAAATTTATTTTTCTGTATTTTAGCTTCCGATGGCAATAGAAACTACATTTTCTATGAGTTCAAAGTTTCCAATGTAAGTATACATATGTTTTTAAAAAAATAATAATTTTAATTTCCTATGTTAAACTTCTATGGGTATTCTTTTTCCCTTTCCTTATTTTCCTACAATACTTAGTAAGAAACGGAGTATTTGGCAAAGTCTAAGAAGTGCCATTTTCAAAATATTATCGCTAATAAAATTATTTATAATATCTGAAAAATTCCAGTTTCTTGCCATATTATAGAGTGAGAAAAAAACATCTGCTTATAGAATTTATAAATTCTATAGATTTATAAAGTCTACAATGGAGAAAAACTGTAAAACATCATCAGCAGGTAGAACTTGAAAGGAGATTAACGCAATGCTTGTGAGTCTCAAAATCTGACAAATTGACAGAAATCCTTATATATTGGAAAAAAAATTAAGCTGAATATCTCCAATGAGTGAAAGGAAGAGCGGAATTAAAATCTCGGGAAACATTGGCAATTCAACACAATTATTTCATTGTTTCTCAGAACACGCTGCAAATGAACGTCATAAACAACAATTACTCCGACCCGAATAACCTGAAGTTCCAAGAAATCAAAATTTTGGGATTGCAGCAGGAACTGATGACAGTCACGGTGCTGCAGGGAAATGCTGTGCAAGTTTCTTCTCATAACATCACCTATAATCCTACAGACAAGGTAAAGAATGGGAGGAAAACTGGAATTATAATTTTCTGGAGTCGTATATATTAGATATTTAAATATTATATATTATATATATTTAAAAATATATGAATATATATATAAAGTAATAATATTATTATATCTGCTGGGTATATATTGCAGTGGAAAGTGGCCAGTAGTATTGTACATCTTTGGTATATGCAGATTTTACTGCAGAAAAACAAAGTGTAATTTCATTAAATGCGTGTATTTAGGTGGAAGATCTGATTTGCCTTCAGACATTGTGCCCAAAAAATGATTGTTAATTATTTATGTGGGTCAATTACAATTATAAGGGGAGGAATGGTTTTAGGATTGTAGTTCATGTTGCAGGAGGGTAAATAATATTTGCCTTCTTTACCACTTAATCAAAGAGTTTTCAAATTGTAAATATAAAACGTAAAAAAAAATAAAATATATAAATTGGCTTAAAAAAAAATAAGCATTTAGTTAAGAGCTGTGCGATTCTCTTCAGCCTTAGTGTGCTTCCATGTGAGCTGAGGGGTCAGAGCATTTCCAGATCTGTGCGTGAATTTGGCGAAATTTAACATTGGGTTGATATTTAATGGATGAAATTATTTAACATTTGGAAAAAAATAAGATTTGGAACAAACAGAGTGCATAAAATGTCATGTTGGGCAAGTTCTTGTTTCTGCAGATCTTAAAAAAAAAAAAAAAGACAATAATGAATGGGATACACAATTTCCTGTTAATTTTTGTTAATATTGTTAATAATGTAAATTTTTAATTGCGTTATTGTTAATTTTTATAGTTTGCTGTTATAAGCGGGCTCCAGCTTGATTTGGGCAAATCGTACTCCTTAACGTGGACTCTAGGAACCCGTGACACCGAAAAATTCGATTGTTATCCCAGCGCAGGGGCCTCCAAGGAACTCTGCGAACAACGCGGCTGCATCTGGGCTGTAAGTAAAGATTTGTCATGTTTTAAGAATCATAACTTTTCTTTTTTTTTTTTTTTTTACAAGAACTGTGGTTCACTGAAGCTGTTTTCAAGCAGTTCTGAAGTCTGAAAATTAGAAGAAAATCTGGTGTTTTGGGAAATACATTAAATAATAATATAGTGTATATTATTATAACAGTGTATTTCTATTATTATAGAAAATAATAGAAATATTAGAAAAACAGAAAATTATTTCTATAAATATATTCTATAAATTATTATAGAAATAATAATAGGGTTGTAAAAAATAGAGGAAACTTGACCTTCATTGGGCTCTGCCATTGCCAACAAGACCTGCAAGGCATCAGGTTTGGGATTTTTTTTACATTTTTTTTTTTTTAAATAATAAGCTTCCATTGTTGAAACACATTCAGCTAAAATCTGTTCCTCTAGAAATCCAGAATGAGAAGAAATCCTTGAATTTCAAAGGAATCTTCCTCTTTCTGTGAATGCAATGGGTTGTGTCCCTGTTGGGTATCTCCAAACCAGAATTCCTGTTCCTGGAGATTTTTAGGTTTTATTTCTGGATTTTTGTGCATGGTTGTGATGACCATGACATCATGATGACAGGCTGGAGTGCTGGACGAATTGCCTGAAATTTGTCGTTATTAGAAATATTTGTCATTATTAGACATATTTGGGGAATTTTAGATATTTGGGAATGGCTCTTTGTGCAGAAGCATGTTTGGCCAAGTTCTGAACTATTTTAAATATTTTCTTGAGTTGAGTGAGACCTTGAATTTGGTGACAAAAGATAAAAGTATACTCATTAGGAGCTAAAATGCAATGAGCAGGCGTAGATTTTTTTTTTGCACAAATTGCAGAAATGGTGATTATTGAGAGCTGAGGTGTTAACCAGTGTCGGCACTTGGAATAATTCGAGGGTGGATTCTTGACTCGAACAAGTTCATTATTTCTAAAACGGTGCAGAAATCTGCCTTTATTGCTTAACGTTGGGGACAAAAGTGCGTTATCTAAATAATAATAATAAAATAATAATAATTTATCTAAATATTAATAATAATAATTATTAATAATTATTAATAATACTAATAATTAATTATTATTATATAATACATTATATAATATAATGATATATAGTATATTATATATATTATATAATATAATAATATATTATAATAATAATTAATCTAAATAATAATAATAAAATAAATTAAAAACAAAAACAAAAAACAAAACAAAACAAAACAAAACAAAAAACAAGAGTTTTTGAATCCTTGCTGCTTAAAACTAAATTTAAAAAAAGAAAACCAAGCGACTCATTCACTAACTGGCCAGGTGCTCACATTTTTAGGAAGATACCTCCAGTTCGAACGTTCCCTACTGCTTTTACGGCTCTGACAACAGTTATTCCGTCTCCGGTGTCCAATACACGGCGTCGGGGCTGGTGGCCAACCTCACCTACACCAACACCATGGCCAGGGCTTTCGGGAGGTCCACGTCGCCCATCAGCACCCTTCGCCTGGAGGTGATATACCACAGCAACGACATGCTCCAGTTTAAGGTATTTCTCCCGGTTTCGGGTCCTCCGCTGGCTAAATTCGGTATATTTCTCAGAATGACATTTTGAGTCTGTTTAGTGTTAATCTGTCTCGTCAAAATATGATTTTCCTTTTAACCAAATGCTAGGTTGAACAGTTGGACTTGATCATTTTTGAGGTCTTTCCTCACCCAAGCAATTTTTGTGTGATTCTGTACAATTCTGCCGGATTCCTGTGCAATTTAAAGAGTGTTTATTACTCTTAGGCTATATCTTGTTTTTCGTGGAGGAATTTCACCCCATTTTTCTGCAGGAAAATCACGGATTGAGCATACAATGTCAATGTACATGTGGGAAGTCATGGAACTGAAGAGATTTAATTGATATGATCAGTTCTGTTATGAAACATGACTTTTTTTTGACCGTTCTACTTCTGAAGTCTTAATACCTTATCATTTAGATTATAATTGATTACTCTACATTTAATAAAATAACTCTAAATTGGGCACGTTATTAAAATGAGCAGCCAAAAGTCTTGAATCGACTCATGTCATCCTACATAATGCAGAAAACACACAGAGGAATCTCTTAAAATTGATTAAAAAGTGAACCAAAAAGGTGAAATCCATCATACCTAAAAATATACTTAATATATCTGAATAATTAAGAGTAATTCCTTGTCCAAAATAAAATCTTTTGCTCTTTATTTTCCAGCCCAAATATTTTGAAGGAATTTGAGAAAGGAATATGTGTTGAAGGAAAACATTTAATAAATCCACAATTTTTAAAATTCTTTTTGTTACTGGCAAGGTTTTGAAAAACGTTGTGTCTGACTTGGAGTCCTCCAGTCTGTAAATTCATTTTATGAGTCGATAGGAATACTGTGTAAATTAATTTTATCTAATGCAATAGGAATACTACTTTTGCTATTTTATCTTGAATTTCTGAAAATGAAGGTTGTTTTTATTTTTATTTTTTATTTCTATTTTTTTATTATTTTTATTTTTTTAAATTTTATTTTAATTTTAATTTTAATTTTATTTTAATTTTAATTTTATTTTAATTTTAATTTTTAATTTTTAATTTGTATTTTATTTATTTTTGTATTCCACGTGCATTGACCCGAATTAATTTTTTCCCTGCATAGATTTATGATTACGCAAATAAAAGGTACGAGGTGCCGGTCCCGCTGAACCTCCCCAGCACCCCCACGAGCACGATCGAGCAGCGACTCTACGACGTCACGGTGCAGACAAAGCCATTTGGGATCCAGGTCCGACGCAGGAGCACGGGGACAGTTCCTGTAAGTCACACTCACTCCATTCCCATCAGGATTTTGAGTTGAAATTTTCATTATCTTCTCTTTTCCTTTCCTTTTTTTTTTTTATAGTATATATATATTTTTAATTTTTTATATATATATTTTTATTTATTTCCCCCCAAAGAGTTTCTTTTCCCATATCTAATGCCACATAGGAGTTTTTGTAGAGTTTTTGTATCCGTCCCAATAAATACCCACATCTGTCCAAAGCTAAACTCTGCTAAACTGGCAATCACTCAACTTTTTCTTAAGTAAGAGATAATTAACCCAAAGTTAAACAGAACTCTCCATTTCAGTAACAGGGCAATTAATAAATCCGACAAGATTAATTTCTTCCCTTGGTGAAGGAAACCAACCCTAGAACAATGCAGTTGGCAGCTGCAGGTCTTACTCTTTTCGAGTTAAATATTTTTTTTTTGCCATTCCTTAAAGTAATCAGAATTTAATCCCAAGTTGAGATAATTTGTGCCAACAGGAATAAGTGAGTTTTTCCTTAATTCAGCCTCCCACATCTATGTCAACCATTGGAAGATCTTTGCTGGGTTGTAACTCAGTTTTTAACAGTAAAAAAGCTGATTTTTGTCCGTTTTGAAATGATCTGCCCCCAAAAAAAGAGAACATAAATTAAGCTCAATAAATAAATAAATAAAAATAATAAAAAAGCACCAAACCTCCTAATGTTCTCTAACCTTTCTTGATAAACAAAGCAATTTTATCCCAATTTTTGTGCACAGCAAGACATTTAGAAAAGAGTTGTCCTTGGAAGGGTCGCCAGCCGAGCACGATGCTGAAATCACCATTTTGTCGTTTTTTTGCCCCATTCTAGCTGGGATTCGCAGCTGCCCACGTTCACGTTCAGCGACATGTTCATCCAAATTTCGACCCGCCTGGCCTCCCAGTACGTGTACGGCTTCGGCGAAACCGAGCACGCCACGTACCGCCAGGACTTGAACTGGCACACGTGGGGGATGTTCACCAGGGACCAGCCTCCTGGCGTAAGTGATGACAAATTCCCCTTTTTTTTCCAAAAAAAATGTTTTTTTTTGCTTGGTGTCAACCAGCATTGATTTGGCTACGGGGGGTGTCCTCCAACGTGCACCTCAATGCCTCGATCAGATCTTAGCAAACTCCTGAGATGTTGGGATTCAGTTAGGAATTTTTTAGGAATTTCAGTTTTCCTCCTAAAGAGGAAAAGCCAAAATTTTGTGTCTACACATATTTGTCTATTACCCAAATATTTTCAAGGGGTTAGTTGTGTAATAACAGCGCTGTATTTTAGCTCGAATTTCCAGCTCAGGTCTTGAACCATCTTGAGAAAATGAAAAAAAAATAAGAGAAAGCCACCAAGAGAAAGCTACTGTCTACATGGAAATACTTGAAAAAAGGTTTTCTCCTAGAAAATCTATTTTTAAGCAATTTTTAACGGCAGGGATACATTTGCTTCCCCCCTTCCAAATTTTGAGTAGTTTGACCTCAAAATTTGAGGCTGACAGTGATCGCTCCTGGTCAACGTCTACCGCGGTATGATTTTGAATGTTTTTGGTTGGCTGTTGTGTGTCTGATCATTAATTTGTAAAGTATCATTTCTCGGGAAATGCAAATAAGCAGAAGGTTGATGATGTCATTCCAATAAAAATTACTTTTTTTTTTCTTTTGCAGTACAAGTTGAATTCCTACGGTTTCCAGCCATTCTACATGGGTCTTGAAGAAGACGGCAACTGCCCATGGAGTTCTCCTGCTCAACAGCAACGGAATGGGTAAAATTAAAATAAAAATCACTATTTTCACCTCGTTTTAAAGCTCAGGTTCTGAGGTAGCAGCTTATGCTATCTGTCACCTCACTGCCCGCTCTCTGTTTCCAGACGTGACGTTCCAGCCCACGCCAGCTCTGACGTATCGCACAATTGGGGGAATTCTGGACTTTTACATGGTTTTGGGTCCAACACCGGAGAGCGTTGTTCAGGAATACACCGCGGTACGATTCCGGCTACAAATTCGAATTTTTTGTTGTAGTTCTGTTTTCACCTGCTTGTATTAAATATTTTTTCTTCTTTATATATAGCTGATCGGGCGACCAGTATTGCCACCCTACTGGGCCCTGGGATTCCAGTTGTGCCGCTATGGATATGCAGATGACAAAGAAGTTGCCCAATTAGTGGAAGACATGAAGGCAGCCGGAATACCTTATGTACGTAGAAAACCAATAAATTTGTCAATTCTTGGCCTTCTCCTCCTTCTTGGCAGGAAATGACCAAAAAAAAGGTCATTTAGGTCAGAGGTTGGACTCGATGATCTTGAGGTCTCTTCCAACCTAGAAATTCTGTGATTCTGTGAAAAAGGCCTTTATGTTGATTTTTCTAGATTTTTTTATAATTATTTTCTTTTTTTGTGTGAACCACAGGATGTCCAGTACACAGATATTGATTATATGGAGCGGCAGCTGGACTTCACGCTTAGCCCGGAATTTGCTGGATTACCAGATTTAGTTAATAAAATAAGAGAAGAAGGAATGAGGTTTATCATAATCCTGGTGAGTTCGGGCTTCTGCTTTTCGGCTGCAGTCTGGGATTGATTAATGCGGAATACGTTCAGCAGGATTTCTGCATTTGGTTTTGGAAGATAAAATTAAAATTATTTTATTTGTAATCTTAGGATCCAGCCATATCTGGAAATGAAACCGATTACCCCGCCTTCGACAGAGGCGTGCAGGATGATGTCTTCATAAAGTGGCCCAATTCCAACGAAATCATCTATGGAAAGGTGCAGTTCTTAAACATTTTTATTTTTTATTCTTTGGTATTTTATCCAAGCCATCATCATGCCATCCAGGATGTTAAAAGACTTCCAATCTCACATTAATTCCCAAATTTAGGTGACATAAATCAAAACACCTTTGTTTTGAGTCACCACTGGAGAATATAGCAAGCTGCTATGTGAATCTACATATTTATATGGATTATTTTGAATCTGTGATTTTAAATAGATATATTTATATGAGGTTATAAAGCCATATATTACACCCAGTTTCATTTGGTTAATGTGATGTTTTTTCTCCAATTAGGTCTGGCCGGATTATCCCAACGTGACAGTTAATAACTCACTGGATTGGGATACCCAGGTGGAAGTAAGCATGAGTACTTTTTGTCAGTAGTCACAAATAGGGCAGGAACACCAAATTCATCAGATTATGGCAAAAAAAAATGGATGATAAAACTGAGTTGGTGGAGAAACATAGAAAACATAGAAAATGAAAACACAGAAAATGAAAAATACCATGGGCATGAGATGCAGAAAATGTCAAGCCTTTCTTCTAGAACATCTTAAAAATGTAGCAAAACCATTTTTTTTAAGCCAAATTCCATTGTTTTAGCAGTGGGATTCTTTTAGTCCTCTGTCTACAATTTATAGATATATTTATATTTTTTTTCCTACAATTTTCACAGCTCTACCGAGCCTACACCGCTTTTCCAGACTTTTTCCGCAATTCCACGGCTGAATGGTGGGCGAGGGAAATCATGGAAGTCTACGACAATCCCCGCGATCCATCGCTGAGCTTGAAATTTGACGGCATATGGATCGTAAGTGTGAAAAATTATTCGATTTTTGACCTTTTTTGTTGTGCCGTATGATTGGAATGGTCCACGGAAGTTTAAAAAGCCATTTTCTTCTTAACAGCATCAATATTTTTTTTTTTGTTGAAACACTGGACTTCCTCAAATCTTTGTTATATTACTACAAGAAAAGCCCAGAATGGCCAGAAATACAGCAAAATATTTGTTATTTTGTTATTTTCCTGTTTTCTAGCTCCAGAGTGCCACAGGCACCAAGGACACCTGCTATCGTTACAAAAGTTTTAGGAACTGATGAATCTGTAGTTATATTTTCTGTATTTCTTTCAATTTCACACAGAAATATTGGTCCTTTGCAGGAAATGTGACTGTTAGAGAAGAATTTCTTAGAGTTGAAGCTCTGACCTTCGATTAATCCCAATTAATCTGATGTGGGGAAATGCAATTCTCAGAATCTGGCTACGAAGTTATCCAACGAAAAAGGATAATTAATTAAAAGATGAAAAATAGTGAAGGATGAAAAGGATAAAAAAGAATAAGGGGAAAAAAGGAGAAAAATATTAAAAGATTAAAAAAAAAAAAAGGGATAACAAATATTTGGCAAGCTAGAGCAGCCCAAAGGAGCCAGGTGCACATGTTGAGGTGGAATTTGTTCATCTCTTTTATTTTTATTTTTATTTTTATTTTTATTTTTATTTTTATTTTTATTTTTATTTTTATTTTTATTTTTATTTTTATTTTTATTTTTATTTTTATTTTTATTTTTATTTTATTTTTATTTAATTTTAATTTTAATTTTAATTTTAATTTAATTTTAATTTTAATTTTAATTTTAATTTTAATTTTAATTTTAATTTAATTTTATTTTTTTATTGTTTTCAGGACATGAATGAACCATCCAGCTTTGTTCACGGGGCCGTTTGGGGCTGTAGAGACAACGAGCTCAACAACCCGCCCTACGTGCCCAGTAAGTCTGATCACAGTAAAGACACTTCCAAATATTTAAAACCATTTTGAGGCACTTAAAAACAAATATACTTTAAGACAATTAAAAATAAATATATTTTAAGACATTTAAAGGTATTTTAAGATATTTAAAAATAAAAATGTTTAAAAATAGGTGGAGTTTTGGTAGTTACATTTAGATCATTTTGTTTTGGATGTCTCCAAGGATGTGGCTTTTGGGGTTTTGTTGTTTTCTCAGATTAATAGTGAAACTTGTGACGAAGACTTTCCAAAATATCCTTCTGCCTCCTCTGACGTGTGTAAACTTACTAAACCCTAATTGAGAAATTCTCTTGGAATATTTGCTATCCTATTAATACCGGAGTAGGGTGGAATTGATTAGTAATAGTAATATTAGTAATATTAGTAACAGATTTATTGGGATATTTCTCGTTTCCTGATGTCTTTAAATATGATTCACCATTTCTCAGGATTTGGCAGTGGCCAAATATTCAAAATATTCAGAAATAGGTTTTTCTCCCCAGTTTTCTGTGTATATTTTGCTGATATATCAATAATAATAGCGTTTTGCAGCATTTTCTTAGTTAGGATATATTCTGTTTACTCTTTGATCCTCTTCAGGAGGATCCTCAAGCTACACCTGAGGAATTAATTCCCTTGCAGAAGCCTACACGGGAATTTTAGGAAATTCTGGATTTGCTGAACTTCAGAAAGCCAACTACAGAAAACCTAAAAAATAATAATAATAAAAATGTCAGAAATAAATAAAATAGCCGTCAAATAAATAAAATAGCCATCAAATAAAAAAATAGCTGTCAAATAAATGAAATAGCCATTAAATAAATAAAATAGCCGTCAAATAAAAAAATAGCCATTAAATAAATAAAATAGCCGTCAAATAAATAAAATAGCCATCCATCAAATAAAATAGCCATTAAATAAATGAAATAGCCATCAAATAAATAAAATAGCCATCCATCAAATAAAATAGCCATCAAATAAAAAAAATAGCCATCAAATAAATGAAATAGCCATCAAATAAAAAAAAATAGCCATTAAATAAAAAAAAAATAGCCATTAAATAAATAAAATAGCCATCAAATAAAAAAATAGCCATCAAATAAAACAAATAGCCATGCCCGTGCGTACCAGGAAGCGAACCCCAACGGAGGGTACGTCATCGAGGTGCAAATCATTTAATTTCTGTTAAAACAGAAGCGTTTTTGCCCCCTTTCTGTAGGTTTGGGGTGGAGGGAACAGGGGCTGGCCTACAAGACGCTGTGCATGGAAGGCGAGCAGCAGCTCCCCGACGGGACCCTCGTCCGTCACTACGACGTCCACAACCTCTACGGGTGGTCCCAAACCAAGCCCACCTTTGAGTAAGTTGCGTTTTTTGGGGCTTTCTTCCCCAAAACCCGTTGCAAATGAAGGTTGCGTGGCCGCGTTCCGACGGTCGTTCTCCGTCCCCAGCATCTTGAGGAACATCACCAAGGAGCGGGGCATCGTCGTCACCCGCTCGACGTACCCCAGCAGCGGGAGGTGGTCGGGGCATTGGTTGGGGGACAACACCGCCGCCTGGAACCAGCTGGAGAAGTCAATTATCGGTGAGTCGACAGAAAAATGAATCGCTCGTTTCCTTCCTCAAAATCCCATCAGTTTAGCCCAAAAAGGTTCGGACCATCACGGCCAACTCCTTTTTGACCTCTTTGCTTAAGAAACTCTTCGCCGTTTCTGCAGGAATTGGGGTTGGCGTGCCAATTTGCCCGCTTTCTCCTCAAATTCCTCTTCGCTTGCCCCGATCCCATTCTGGTTGCCCCCCCAAAAATTTGGGGGCGACAAGATATGAGGGAAATCTCTTATTTTGCCAATCCTGCTCCATCCACCCGATGAGCACGCGTGTCCCTAACGACTCGTGGTTTTTTCGCAGGCATGATGGAGTTCAGTCTCTTCGGAATATCCTATGTAAGCCCCTGATTTATTCCCTTACATCTCAATTAACTCGATGATTATCGATAATATTCAACTATCATCAATAGAAAATGATCGATTATTATCGACTGTTGTCAACCGACTTTAGTCGACAATTATCAATAGACAAATATTGACTTTTATCAATTACCACTAAACAAATTTTGACTTCCATCGGCTATTCTCAATAGACAAATATCAACTGCTGTCGATCAATAATTATTGGCAATTAACTACAAAAATTATCGATTATAAATTATCCTTATATGGTCAATCGACTTTAGTCAACAATTATCAATAGATAAATATCAACTTTTATCAACAATTATCACTAAACAAATTTTGACTTTCATCGACTATTCTCAATAAACAAATATTGACTGCTGTCGATCAATAATTATTGACAATTAGCTACAAAAATTATCAATTATAAATTATCATTATATGGTCAATCGACTTTAGTCAACAATTATCAATAGACAAATATTGACTTTTATCAACAATTATCACTAAACAAATTTTGACTTTCATCGGCTATTCTCAATAGAGAAATATTGACTGCTGTCGATCAAGAATTATTGACAATTAACTACAAAAATTATCGATTATAAATTATCATTATATGGTCAATCGACTTTAGTCAACAATTATCAGTAGATAAATATCAACTTTTATCAACAATTATCACTAAACAAATTTTGACTTTCATCGACTATTCTCAATAAACAAATATTGACTGCTGTCGATCAATAATTATTGACAATTAACTACAAAAATTATCGATTGTAAATTATCATTATATGGTCAATCGACTTTAGTCGACAATTATCAATAGACAAATATTGACTTTTATCAATTACCACTAAACAAATTTTGACTTTCATTGGCTATTCTCAATAGACAAATATCGACTGCTGTCGATCAATAATTATTGACAATTAACTACAAAAATTATCGATTATAAATTATCATTATATGGTCAATCGACTTTAGTCAACAATTATCAATAGACAAATATTGATTTTTATCAACAATTATCACTAAACAAATTTTGACTTTCATCGACTATTCTCAATAGACAAATATCGACTGCTGTCGATCAATAATTATTGGCAATTAACTACAAAAATTATCGATTATAAATTATCATTATATGGTCAATCGACTTTAGTCGACAATTATCTACAGACAAATATTGATTTTTATCAATTATCACTAAACAAATTTTGACTTTCATCGGCTGTTCTCAATAGACAAATATCGACTGCTGTCGATCAATAATTATTGGCAATTAACTACAAAAATTGGGCAATCTGGGCCTTTGCAGACAGGAGCGGATATCTGCGGCTTCTTCTCGGACTCGGAGTACGAGCTGTGCCTGCGCTGGATGCAGCTGGGAGCCTTTTACCCCTACTCCAGGAACCACAACGGGGAGGGCAGCAAGGTGAGCGCGCCCCCCATTGACGTTGGCCAACCCCAAAATCACTTTCCTCCAAAATCCCATTTTTTAGGTCAACTCACCCCATTTTGCAAGACGCCGATCAGTATTTTTCATTGTCAATTCCTTATTGAACCAGATCGCATCTCCAAGGCTAAAATTACATTTTTTTTCACATAGGCCATTTTTGTTGGATCTTATCATGCTTACAAAAATAGTTACTTTTTTGGTTTTCTGCATTTAAACCAGCAAAAAACGACCTCGGTGTTATCAACTTTAATTCTTCATCATTTTGAGGCAAACTAGAAAATGGAGCGGTGACACTGGATTCCCGAGTACCCAAAATTCCTTTATTTTGTTCACTTCTTACCATAAAATATTGCATTTCTTTTAGGAATAAATGAAAATAGCTGAGTTTTGAGTAGATAGATGAAATAGGTGTTTATTTGATGAATATGATGAATAGACATGTGAAATAACCAGAAAAACATCAAAAATATACGTGAAATAACCAGAAAAACGTCAAAAATAGAAACAGGAATTTTATCCTGCTTAGGTCTAGCAGAGTAGAGCGTCTGGCCCAAATTAAAGAAATTACGAATAACTAACCAAATTAAAGAAATTACAAATAACTAACAGTGTCCTAAATTAGGGAAGGAAAAGGAATTTGGAACGCTACACCCAGGTCTCCTAAATTATGTTTTTCTGTGCTCATTTTGAGGCAGATTTGACAATTGCCACCACTCTGTTTTTTCAATTATTTAATTTATTTAATTATATCAATTATCAACTTTATCAATTATATCAGTTTAAGAGGGATGTATAAGTTGGAAATGTTGCTCAGCGTGAACTCTGTTGTAAACACGAATAAATTCTTTGACCCAGTCTTTTTTTTTTCTTTTTTTCTTTTTTTTTCTTTTTAAATTTTTTCCCTTTTTTCTTTTTTTCTTTTTTTTTCTTTTTTCCTTTTTTCCTTTTTTTCCTTTTTCTTTTTTCTTTTTTTCTTCTTTTTTCTTTTTTTCCTTTTTTCTTTTTTTTCTTTTTTTTTCTTTTTTCCTTTTTCCTTTTTTTTTCCTTTTCTTTTTTTTTTCTTTTTTTTCCCCTTTTTTCTTTTTTTTTCTTTTTTTTCCCTCCTGTTTCTTCCAAATAAAACCTCCGGGACAACGAGCTTCTCTTTTTTAGAGGCAAGATCCTGTTGCCTGGAATACCACCTTTGAGGAGATTTCCCGGCACGTGCTGAACATCCGCTACAGCCTCCTGCCCTACCTCTACACGCTGATGTACCAAGCCAACGCGCACGGCAGCACCGTGGTCCGGCCCCTGCTCCACGAGTAAGATTATGCCTTTAGTAGGGTCTGTCTCTAGTAAGATTGTTTTATTTTATTTTATTTTATTTTATTTTATTTTATTTTATTTTATTTTATTTTATTTTATTTTATTTTATTTTATTTTATTTTATTTATTTTATTTTACTTTATTTTACTTTATTTTATTTTATTTATTTTACTTTATTTTACTTTATTTTATTTTACTTTATTTTATTTTACTTTATTTTATTTTACTTTATTTTATTTTACTTTATTTTATTTACTTTATTTACTTTATTTATTTTACTTTATTTTACTTTTCTTTACTTTATTTTATTTTACTTTACTTTATTTTATTTTACTTTACTTTATTTTATTTTATTTTATTTTATTTTATTTTATTTTACTTTGGTTTATTTTATTTATTTATTTTTTTTAAATCAAGTTCAAATAGATTAAATCATTATTAACGAAATTTTATCTTATTTTATCTTATTTTATTTTATTTTATTTTTTAAATCAAATTCAAATAGATGAAATCATTATTAACGAAATTTTATTTTATCTTATCTTATCTTATTTTATGTTTTTAAATCAAGTTCAAATAGATGAAATCATTATTAACGAAATTTTATTTTATTTTATCTTTATTTTATTTTATTTTTTAAATCAAGTTCAAATAGATGAAATCATTATTAACGAAATTTTATTTTATTTTATTTTGTTTTATTTATTTTGTTTTATTTTTTATCGTTTTATTTTGTTTTATTTTTTTAAATCAAGTTCACATAGATGAAATTATTATTAACGAACTATTATTAATAATGAATTATTATTATTAATTATCAATAATCACTATTACCTGTTATTACCAGTGGCATGCTTACAGTTGAGGAACCAGTAGTTTTACTGCAGAAAAAAGGCTTCAACAGGGAAATATTTTGTAAAAATTGTTAATAAAACGGTGTATGACCACTTCTGATTGATTTTTTTTTTAAATTTTGCAGGTTTGTGGAAGACAGGACAACATGGGACATACAGAAACAATTTCTGTGGGGCCCAGCACTGCTCATCAGCCCCGTGCTGGAACAGGTAAAAGCTGATAGAAATACCGGAAAAATTAGGAAAAAGTAATAAAATATTAGAAAACAAAAAAAAACATTCAACGTTACTTTAGCTAAACTTCCACTTTTTGGCTTGAATAGACCCAAAGCAAAAATCTTTAATTCCAGGGTGCTGTAACGGTGAATGCTTACTTCCCAAATGCCACCTGGTATGATTACCACACAGTAAGTAATTAAATATATATATATATATATTTTTTTTTTCTATAAAAAAAGAGTGGGAATCCACCACGTGCTCGTTTTCTGCATGCAGAATTTAAGCTGTCGTCCTGAAAAACACCAAACTTAAACCCTTGTCCCGAAAAATCCGTAGCTCTTGCTGCGTTTAAAAGCTGTGCTTGATGTTTTTGGAGGCATTCATAAAATATTCTTTAAATTTGCATTTTAAATTTAAAAGTTTTAAGCAAAGAATTCAACAGGGGCGGCATCTTTTTTGTTTTATTTTATTTTATTTTATTTTATTTTATTTTATTTTATTTTATTTTATTTTATTTTATTTTATTTTATTTTATTTTATTTTATTTTATTTTATTTTATTTTAATTTAATTTAATTTAATTTTTTTTTTTTGTTGTTATTTTGGGTTTTATTGAGGTTTTGTTGGGGTTTTCTCAAGGTTTTGGTGTTTATTTTTTTGGGGGGGTGTTTCTTTGTTTTTTTGTTGTGTTTTCTTTTCTGTTTTCTGTTTTTCTCCACTATTAGGATGAATATTTTAGCTCTAAGGGAGAATTCAGAAATTTACCCGCTCCTCTCGAACACATCAACCTCCACATCCGTGGCGGCCACGTCCTCGTCCAGCAGGACCCTGCCAACACCACCGCTTACAGGTACGAGACGAGCAGTCACCATCAAACACTCCAATTTTGGCTTTTTAAGGGAAATATTTAGTAGCACGGCAAATAAATAATTCAATCGTGGCTTTTTTTTTTTTTTTTTTTTTTTGCTGTCACATTTTTAAGTGGGAAAAGCAAAATTTTCCTGTGTTCTTGGAAGCATCCCCATCATGATTCAATTCCAGCATTGCTCAGGATGTCAATTTTTGGGGCAATTTTATTATTTTTTGGGTTTCCTTAAATACAATATTACGGAGAGGGGAAGGCTGGTGGCAGCTAAATTGTGTGCAACATCTATAATTTTTAATTATTTTATTTTATTTTATTTTATTTTATTTTATTTATTATTTTACTTTATTTTATTTTACTTTATTTTATTTTACTTATTTTACTTACTTTACTTTATTTTACTTTACTTTATTTTACTTTACTTTATTTTACTTACTTTATTTACTTACTTATATTTACTTATATTTTATCTTATTTTATTTTATCTTATTTTATTTTATTTTATTATTTTAATTATAATTATTAATTTTTAACTTAATACCTCTCATGAGATATAAAATAAAATATAAATATAAAATGGGATTACCTAAGAAAAATGTCTTTTTTTTTTTAATTTTCATAGCCGAAAAAACGAGTTGTCACTTATTGTTGCTCTGAATGACAGTCAGCTCGCAGAAGGTCAACTTTATTGGGACGACGGGGTGCGCATTGGTAAGGACAAAAACGGTCATTTACACGAAAAATCCCCTAAATTCAAAATTTGTGCCCACAAGGCACAAATATTGTCTTTTTTTTTAGCTCTGTGGATTTTGAACACGAGCACCGAATTTTCATTTTGGGGATATTGGGCAACGATCACCCAAGGGTGTGTTTAAGAGGGATGGAGTAGAAAAAAATACAGGAAAATGATTAAAATGAATACACATAAACCAAGGAAAATGGCAAAATGAGTGAAACAATGCTAAATTAAAAGCATAATGTTATTATTTAGAGAATTTGTATTTTGCAGAAATTAAATTGTGCCTCGGACCTAGGGAAACACATAGAATAGGGATTTCTTCTCCAATTTATAGGAAGATGAAGCGGGAATCACACCGCAGACGAAGTGGAAAGCTTTAACGAAACTCCTCGATATTAATAAATTCAGAAGATAAGGGATTTTTAGAAGTCAACAGCTGAGATTATCCCAATTAATGCACAAAATCGTGGATTTTAGCGTACCAGCACGTAGCAGGCTGCACGATGCATATGCACATACATAGCATGTACAGCACAAGTTTTCTATTAAATTTAAAAATATAATTTAAATTTAAATTTAAAAATATGAATTGTCCGTATTTCACTTTATTTTGGTCTTTTAACAGATGCGTATGAGGATGGAGTCTACCTGCTGACCTCATTTACTGCTCGTCAGGTTTGTAACAGAAACTCCCTGGGCTGCAGTGCCCAGCCTGGCTGCTAGTATCCATTTAAAAAAGCTTAAATTTGGGATTTTTAATGTTTTGATGTCTGGCTCTTATTTCGTGTCGTGACAACGGGCGTAGAGCTCTAATTGCTGATTTTTAAGGAAAATTTGCTTGGGCTTACAAGGCACGTCCTGGAAGGATGAAGTCATTTTGTACTTGCACCAGTATAAATCAGAGCAACTTCATTTACTTTGGGGGGCCATTCCCCATACAGACTTATATTCATATATTTAATTATTTTCATACTTTATATATTCATTTCTGTCTATATAATATATTTATTTATATAATATATTTATTTATGATAAAGGGGTATAGATTTGTACACCTTCTATAGCCTCTAAATCCCAACAGCCTGCACCACTACAAATAAAGCAATTTATTTTAGTTTTGGGGCTATTCCCCATATTTATATTTATATTTATATTTATATTTTATATTTATATTTATATTTATATTTATATTTATATTTATATTTATATTTATATTTATGTTTTTTATATATTTATATATATATTTTATATATTTATATATATTTTAATATATATATGTATATGTATTATATGTGTGTGTATATGTATTATATGTATATGTATATTTATATATGGATTATATAAATATTTTATAATCCATATATTAATATATTATATTAATATATTATATATATAATATAATATATAAATACTATATATTATATTAATATACGGATTGTATAAATATATTGTATGTATATATGGATTATATAATAAATGTATATATATATTTACACACACATTTATATATATATTAATATTACTACTATAATAGAAGTAATATATATATTATACACACATATACATCCACAAATTCTCCTGCTGTACCCCAAGGAGCTGATAAGTGTTTTGTGTCTATAATGCAATTTTATAATTTTTATAATTTTTATAATTTTTATAATTTTTATAATTCTTATAATTTTTATAATTTTGCTGCTATGATGCAATTATCACCAATTTGTACTAAAAATAAACTTAAAATAGCACAGCTATTTTAGCCTCTTGCTATGACATTGCGATTATGAAAAAAAAATATTTAAATTTGAGAAAAAACAAAACAAAACAAAAAAACACTGAAAAAAAAATTTAAATTTGAGAAAAACAAAACAAAAAAAACCCACCGATTTCCTTCTCCCCTTCAGAACACCTTAGAGATAAAGGTTTTGCACCGGGGCTACTCCGACCCGAATAATTTGAAATTTACCACGGTGAAAACTTTGGGGCAGAAGACCACCGTGACGCGGCTGGCGGTTTTGGAGAATGGCATCGAAATCCCATCCGCACACGCGCTGTCCTACAACGCCACGACGCAGGTAAGGACACCGGGTGGGGTCGATGCCGAATTAAATTTAGGGCACGCGGCGTTTTTCGGGTCTCATCCCTTTTCTGCCTGATGACAAAAAGAAACGATTGATTACGTCACCAGGTGTTGAATATACAGAAATATTATATCAAAAATATACATAAAATAAAAACATTAGGTTGCTTTATTGTGTATTATATGAAAATTATATAAAATACACAATAAAGCAACCTAGTATTTTTATTATATCAAAATTGTATAAAATAAAAATACTAGGTTGCTTTATTATGTATTATATGAAAATTATATAAAATAAAAATATTAGGTTGCTTTATTGCGTATTATATCAAAAATATATAAAATAAAAATACTAAGTTGATTTATGTATTTTACATAACATTATTTATATAATATTCAATAATATTCTATAAAATAATGAAAATAATATTTATATAATATTGAATATTGTATAGATAAAATATAAAATATAGAGTTGTTATGTCAAAAAAGGATATAAAGCAAAAATATTAGGTTGCTTTTTGTATTTTACATAGTATTATTTATATAATGTTGAATATTTATAATTAATTATGTTATAATTAATCACATTACAATTAATCACATTAAAATTAATATAACATGAACAAATCTTATTATAACATGAAAAATCATGTTATAATTAATATAATGTGATCAAACAATAACATATATATAATTAGCTTATATAATCAAAAATGATGAATTTCTCCTGGATGGAGAAAGAAGAAATTTGTAAACACAGTCGCAATAGTCCAAGTTTTATGTAAAAAAAAATAATAATCATAATTAAAAAAAATAAAGGGGGGGGGATGGGAACCTCATGATCCAGAATAAAGAAATTTATGGCACTTAGGCAAATTTTTGGTAACGTATGAGAAACAAAAAAGCAAGATGTCTTCAGCTCTGATTAACTCACCTTTTTTTTTTTAAATTTATTTTATTTTGCTTTTTTTCAAGGTCCTTTTAACCACCCAGCTGGAACTGGAATTAGGCAAAGCCTACACTTTGCAGTGGAGCTAAAACCTGCAGCCATCCCGGGTGGCGAAGCTGAGCCAAAATTCCCCACGTTCGCGAATTTTTCCCTTTTCCTCCTTAAAACACTTTGCACTATTAAAATTTATTAGTTATAATCCGTTAGTTTTACGTTTTTTCCTTGTTTTGAGCTGTGGAATTCTGCCAAGCTGGGGCGTGGCAAAGGACCTCGGGGACTCCAAACTTACAAGGAGCCTTGGGCCCCACTTTTGGGAGGTTTTGGGGACTTTGAACCTGTCTGGAAAGCAACCTTCACCCCCCCCTCCTAACGAACGAGCCTCAAAAAAAAAACTCAACATTTTTTTTGGGGATTCCATCGTGTTTTCCTCCACCTCCTTCCTGAGGCAATCGTGTCAGGAAGAACGATGGAAATCTGCAAAGAAACAGAGAAAAAAATCACTTTTTAGGTTTTTTTTTGGCCTTTTTTACCCTTTTGGCCTTTTTTTACCCAAATCCCTCCCTTTTGGGCCCAAACCCCTCTCTTCAGGGCCTAAACCCCGATTTTTAGGGCCCAAGCCCTTCTTTTTCGGGCCCCAGACCTTCTTTTTTAGGGCCCAAATTTCCCCCCAAAGACCCAGATGCCCCCCCCCAAGGCGATCTGGGTGCCCCCCCCATTACAGGGGACCCCCAGGTGTCCCCCCCCCAGTGACAGCGCCGTCCCCTCTGTGTGTGTCCCCCCCCCTGTAGGGGACCCCAGTCCTGGTGTCCCCAAGGGGGGGGTCCCGGTGTCCCCAAAGGACCCCAGCACCTGGGTGACCCCAATGGGGTCCCGGATTTCCAGGGGTCCCCCCCCAAAAAAAGCAGCCGGGGTTGTGGGTTCTTCCCAAAAGGGGCCAAGGCACCCGGCTGTCCCCAAAATGACCCCAAAAGGGACCGGGATGACCCCAAAAAGGGGCTTGGATGTCCCAAAAAGGGTCCGGAATGACCCCCAAAAGGGACCTGGGTGCCCCAAAAGGGTCCTGGATGACCCCAAAAAGCTGGGCTTCCAGGAGAGCGGCACCTCCAAAACCGTCACCTGCACCGTACGTGGCCGGGGGGGACAAGGGGGGGGGCCAGGATTTTTTGGGGGGGTTACGGGGTTGTGGGGTCACCCAGGAGGCCCCATAAGGGGGTCCCAGTCAGTGGGAGGGGGAAATGGGTGAGGAGGAGGTGTGGGGGCTGGGGGCTGGAGTTGTTTGGGGGGGGCACAAGGGGGGGGGGGCAGGTTTTTTGGGGGGTTACGGGGTTGTGGGTCACTTCAAGGAATTTCAGCTTCCACCCTTGAATCAGCTGAACACCCAAACTGAAGTATTAGGCCTGCCATATTGGGGGGTTAGGCCTGAAAATGAGGCATTATCCCCCAAAATTGGGGGTTTAGCCCCCAAAATGAGGCATTAGGTCCCCCAAAATTGTCGGTTTATCCCCAAAGGAAGCATTAGGCCCCCAAAACTGGGGGGTTTAGCCCCCAAAATGACACATTAGGCTCCAAAACTGGGGGGTTAGGCCTGAAAAGGAGGCATTAGGCCGCCATATTGGGGGTTTTAGTCCCCATAAGAGGCATTAGGACCCCAAAATTGTCGGTTTTTACCCCCAAAATGAGGTATTAGGTCTCCAAAACTGGGGGGGTTTAGGCCTGAAAATGAGGGCATTAGGCCCGCAAATTGGGCGTTCGTTTTAGACCCCCAATGAGGAATTAGGACCCCCAAAATTGTCGGTTATCCCCAAAATGAAGCATTAGGCCCCCAAAACTGGGGGGTTTAGCCCCCAAAATGACACATTAGGCCTCCAAAACTGGGGGGTTAGGCCTGAAAGGAGGCATTAGGCCCCGCCATATTGGGGTGTTTTAGTCCCCAAAATGTTGCATTAGGCCTCCAAAACTGGGGGTTTTAGCCCCCAAATGAGGTATTAGGACCCCAAATTGTCGGTTTACCCCAAAATGAAGCATTAGGCCCCCAAAACTGGGGGGTTTAGTCCCCATAATGAGGCATTAGGCCCCAAAACTGGGGGGTTTAGCCCCAAATGAGGCATTATCCCCCAAAATTGGGGGTTTACCCCCAAACTGAGGCATTAGGCCTCCAAAACTGGGGGTTTAGCCCCCCAAATGAGGCATTAGGCCCCCCTAAATGCGCCCCCCCCCTCCCAATAAGACCCTCTCCTAAGGGGTGCCAGGTGTCCCCCCCCCCAGTGCCCCCCCACGACACCCTCCTCCAGGACACCCAGATGTGACCCCCCCCCCCCATGGGACCCTCGTGCCCCCCCCCAATAGGACCCACATACCCCCCCCCTCTTTGCCCCCCCCCCCCCAGACGTCTTGCAGCCTCCCGCTGTCCCCTCCCCCTTGGTGACCTTTGCCCAAGGAGCGGGGGGGGGGGATCCCCATGATGGGGGGGGGGCAGGGGGGGGGGTCGATCATTAACAGAGGCTCACGGAGAGGCTCTGGGACCCCCCCCATAGCTGGACTTTGGCCCCCCCCTGTGGCTGTCCCGAGGCTGAGCCAGGTAGGGAGCGGCTGGGGACAGCTGGGACCCCCCCCCCCGTGCCCTCCCCCCCCCCAAAAATCACCTGGTGTTGTGTCCCCACCCCCCCATCATCTTGGAGCCCCCCCCCAAAAAAAAAAGCTGGGGCCCCCATTACCTGGGACCCCCCCCCCCGCAGTTACATGGGACCCCCCCCCATTTCCTGGGAGCCCCCACACCTGGGCCCCCCCCTCCCAGGGCCCCCCCCCCCGTTACCTGAGACCCCGCCCCCAATTTGGGACCCCCAAACACCTGAGATCCCCCCCCAAAACACCTACCCCCCCCCAAAAAAAAAAACAAAACACCATTGACCCCCTCCCAAACACCTGGGACCCCCCAGCCCTTGTTACCTGCCCCCCTCCCCAGTTGTGCCCCCCCCCCCCAGTTTATTTATTTATTATTCCCTTTTTTCAGCCGCTTGCCCTGGATATCTGAGTGCCCCCCCCCCCCCCCCCCCGGGACAAGTGCCCCCCCCTTCCCCCCCCCAGGACAAGTAGGCCCCCCCATCCCCTTTGCCCCCCCCCCGCTGGGTGATGGCGGGGGGGTCCCCGTCGCGCCCCTGGGGTGTGGGCGGTGGTGGGGGGCGCCTTCCTGCAGTCGGGGCTGGTTTTCGGGGGGGCTGCGGGTGCTGGGGCTGTGCCTGGGGGAGATGGGGGAAGTCCTTCAAGGGGGGGGCAGGGGCCGTCGCCTGGGTGGGCTCCACCGCCATCGCCACGCTTCAACTGGGAGGTGAGTGGGGGTACTGGGGGTAACTGGGAGGGCTGGGGGGGGCCTTCATCCATGTTTCTGGGGTCCCAGTGGTACCAGTAAGGGGGCTGGGAGGATACTGGGAGGGTTGGGGGGGGTTCTCACCTGTGTCCCCAGGGACCCAGAGTCACCAGTAAAGGGTTTTAGGGGATACTGGGAGGATACTGGGAGAGCTGGGGGCCCTTCACCCGTGTTCCTGGGGTCCCAGTGCTACCAATAAAGGGGTTGGGAGAATACTGGGAGGATACTGGGAGGGTTGGGGTCCATCATCTGTCTCACTGGGGACCAGAGCCACCAGTAAAGGGTTTTAGGGATACTGGAGGATACTGGGAGAGCTGGGGGCCCCTCACTCACGTCCCTGAAGTCCTAGTGCCACCAGTAATGAGGTTTGAGGGCTGTGGGGGGCACTGGGATCCCCCGTCACCTATCTCCCTGAAGTCCCAGTTCCACCAGTAAGGGGGCTTGGGGGCTGCTGGGAGGGAATGGGAGCACTGGGACCCCCTCCCCTCTCTCCCTGGGGTTCCCAATCCCACCATTAGGAAGTCCTGGGGCAAATGGGACGCACTGGGAGCACCAGGACCACCCTACCCTTCACCCTGGGATCCCAATCCCACCAGTAAAGGTCCCTGGGAGGCACTGGGACCCCTCCCCCCAATCCCTGGCTCCCAGTCCTCCCAGTAAAGACCCCTGGGGTCCCGCTCCCTGTTGCAGGACCCCTGGCCAGCACCTTGAGCACCCGCTTTGGCGCCCGCCCCGTGGTCATGGTCGGGGGCTTCCTCACGGGCCTGGGGTTCCTCCTGGGGTCCTTCGCCACCCACCTGGCCCACCTCTACCTCAGCGTGGGGCTGCTGACAGGTACGGGGCTGGGGGGGGTGGGTGGCAGGGTGAGGGAGGGGGCGGGAGAGGGGTTGGGTGACCTAGAACGTGGGGGTTCCCTTGGGTGAGGGAGGGATGGGGTGGGTGACCTGAAGGGGTGGGTGACCTAGAGGGGGTTGGGTGACCTAGAACGTGGGGGTTCCCTTGGGTGAGGGAAGGGTTGGGTGACCTGGAACGTGGGGGTTCCTTGGGTGAGGGAGGGATGGGGTTGGGTGACATGGAGGAGTTGGGTGACCTAGAACATGGGGGTACCCTTGGGTGAGGGAAGGGTTGGGTGACCTAGAGGGGTTGGGTGACCAAGAACGTGGGGCTTCCTTGGGTGAGGGAGGGATGGGGTTGGGTGACATGGAGGGGTTGGGTGACCTAGAACGTGGGGGTTCCCTTGGGTGAAGGATTGATGGGGTTGGGTGATGTGGAGGGTTGAGTGACCTAGAACGTGGACGTTCCCTTGGGTGAAGGATTGATGGGGTTGGGTGACATGGAGGAGTTGGGTGACCTAGAGGGGGTTGGGTGACCTAGAACATGGGGGTTCCTTGGGTGAGGGAGGGAAGGGGTGGGTGACCTGAAGGGGTTGGGTGACCTAGAACGTGGACGTTCCCTTGGGTGAGGGAAGGGTTGGGTGACATGGAGGGGTTGGGTGACCTAGAACATGGGGGTTCCCTTGGGTGAAGGATTGATGGGGTTGGGTGACATGGAGGAGTTGGGTGACCTAGAGGGGGTGGGTGACCTAGAACATGGGGGTTCCTTGGGTGAGGGAGGGAAGGGGTTGGGTGACCTGAAGGGGTTGGGTGACCTAGAACGTGGACGTTCCCTTGGGTGAGGGAAGGGTTGGGTGACCTAGAGGGGGTTGGGTGACCTGGAACGTGGGGGTTCCCTTGGGTGAAGGATTGATGGGGTTGGGTGATGTGGAGGAGTTGGGTGACCTAGAACGTGGGGGTTCCCTTGGGTGAGGGAGGGATGGGGTTGGGTGACCTGAAGGGGTTGGGTGACCTAGAGGGGGTTGGGTGACCTAGAGGGGGTTGGGTGACCTAGAACGTGGACGTTCCCTTGGGTGAGGGAAGGGTTGGGTGACATGGAGGGGTTGGGTGACCTAGAACATGGGGGTTCCCTTGGGTGAGGGAGGGATGGGGTTGGGTGACGTGGAAGGGTTGGGTGACCTAGAGGGGGTTGGGTGACCTAGAGGGGGTTGGGTGACCTAGAACGTGGTGATTCCCTTGGGTGAAGGAGGGATGGGGTTGGGTGACCTAGAACATGGACGTTCCCTTCGGTGAGGGAAGGGTTGGGTGACATGGAGGAGTTGGGTGACCTGGAACGTGGGGGTTCCCTTGGGTGAAGGAGAGAAAGGGTTGGGTGACCTAGAACGTGGGGGATCCTTTGGGTGAAGGATTGATGGGGTTGGGTGACCTAGAGGGGGTTGGGTGACCTAGAACGTGGGGTCCCTTGGGTGAAGGAGGGATGGGGTTGGGCGACCTAGAACTTTACGGTTCTTGGGTAAAAGGTGGCTCAAAGGGGACATGGGGAACCTAGAACATCCTTGGGGTGACCTGGACCACCCCAGCCTATCGGGTGCCCCCCATCCTCACTGGGGGGGCCTCAGATGACCCCAGGCCATTGGGACACCAAGAACATCCCAAACCGAGTCCCCCCCAGCCCATTGGGTGACCTAGACCCCCCCCCAAAAAAAACGCCCCAACCCCCCCCCTCCCGTTGCGTGACCTAGAACCACCGCTCCCATCTTCTGCCCTTAACCCAACCCCCACCCACCGTAAGCCCCCTCCACCCACCCCCAATGACCAACCCCACCCAGAACCCCCCCCCCCAACTTTTCCTTGCAGGTTGGGCTGGGCGCTGGTCTTCACGCCTCGCTGGCCACCGTGGGCCACTACTTCCCGGCGCGGCGCGCGCTGGCCACGGGCTTGGCCATGTCGGGGGCCAGCGTTTTGGGGCTGGTCCTGGCGGCTCTGGTCCCTCTTCTACTGGACGCCTACGGCTGGCGGGGGACCCTACTGGTGATGGCCGCCATCTCCTTCAACCTACTGGTGGCCGGCGCCTTGCTGCGGCCTCTCAAGACCCCCAAGGAGTCACGGGGCCGGCGCGGGGGCCGGTGGGGGTTGTGGCGGCTGCTGCGTCACGGCCCCTTCCTCCGCTACTCCTTGGCCTTCGTGCTGGTGGACGCCGGCTACTACGTGCCCCACGTCCACGGGCCGGCCCGCGCCCACGAGGTGGGGTGCGACGAGCACCAGGCCGGGCAAGCCATGGCGGCCATGGCGGTGGCCGATGGTGGTGGCGGGTGTTGGCCGGCTGGTTGGGCCCCCGCCTGGCCGTCCCTTTGCTCCACCACCTCTTCGCTTGGGGGGCGCTGACGGGGCTGGCGCTGCTGCTGCTGCCCTTGGGACGTCCTTCGGGGGGCTCCTGGCCTTGGTTTTGGTCTACGGGTTCTGCGCCGGCGCCGTGGTGCCCCTGCAGTTCACCGGCGTGGCCGAGGTGATGGGCGCCGGGCGGCTGCTCCACGCCATCGGCCTCATGCAGATGTTGGAGAGCGTCGGGTCGCTGCTGGGGGCTCCCTTGGCCGGTAGGAAGGGGGCTCGGTGTGGGACTGGGGGGTGCTGGGAGGGGTGGGGGACCTAGAACCGGTCATGGGGGGAAGCTGGGAGCGGTTTTTGGCTTGATTTTCATCATTTTGGTCAGGAAATGACGCCAGCGGCGTTGGGTGACCTAGAACCCATCATGGGGGGCATCTGGAGTGTGTTTAGGGGGCCCGTTCCCCATCCCGTGGCTCATGGGGTCAGCAACTGGTCATGGTGGGCAGCCGGGGGGGGCCCGCGCCCGTTTTTCTCCCATTTTCGACCCAAAATGGGCCCAAGACCTCAAGGTTTGGGCAACCTTGGCCATGCTGGACGTTCTTGGTGCCCCAACAGGCCTGGGGTGCCCCCGGAACCCACCCCGGCAGTCACTGGGGGGTTCTGGGTGCCCCAACCCAGGTGTTCCTGGTCCTCCAACCCTTCCCAGTTCCCCCAGTTGCTCTCTGGGCTGGTTCTAGGTGGGTTCTGGGTTCCAGGTGCCCCATCCCACATGTTCCTGGTCCTCCAACCCTTCCCAGTTCCCCCAGTTATTCTCTGGGCTGGTTCTAGGTGGGTTCTGGGTTCCAGGTGCCCCACCACGTGTTCCTGGTCCTCCAACCCTTCCAGTTCCCCAGTTGCTCTCTGGGCTGGTTCTAGGTGGGTTCTGGGTTCCAGGTGCCCCATCCCACATGTTCCTGGTCCTCCAACCCTTCCCAGTTCCCCCCAGTTGTTCTCTGGGCTGGTTCTAGGTGGGTTCGGGTTCCAGGTGCCCATCCCTCCTGGTCCTCCAACCCTTCCCAGTTCCCCCAGTTATTCTCTGGGCTGGTTCTAGGTGGGTTCTGGGTTCCAGGTGCCCCATCCCACATGTTCCTGGTCCTCCAACCCTTCCCAGTTCCCCCAGTTGTTCTCTGGGCTGGTTCTAGGCGGGTTCTGGGTTCAGGTGCCCCATCCCACGTGTTCCTGGTCCTCCAACCCTTCCCAGTTCCCCCAGTTGTTCTCTGGGCTGGTTCTAGGTGGGTTCTGGGTTCCAGATGCCCCATCCCACGTGTTCCTGGTCCTCCAACCCTTCCCAGTTCCCCCAGTTGTTCTCTGGGCTGGTTCTAGGTGGGTTCTGGGGTTCCAGGTGCCCCATCTCACGTGTTCCTGGTCCTCCAACCCTTCCCAGTTCCCCCAGTTGTTCTCTGGGCTGGTTCTAGGGGGTTCTGGGTTCCAGGTGCCCCATCCCACGTGTTCTGGTCCTCCAACCCTTCCCAGTTCCCCCAGTTGTTCTCTGGGTGGTTCTAGGTGGGTTCTGGGTTCCAGGTGCCCCATCCCACGTGTTCCTGGTCCTCCAACCCTTCCCAGTTCCCCAGTTGTTCTCTGGGCTGGTTCTAGGTGGGTTCTGGGTTCCAGGTGCCCATCCCACGTGTTCCTGGTCCTCCAACCCTTCCAGTTCCCCCAGTTGTTCTCTGGGCTGGTTCTAGGTGGGTTCTGGGGTTCCAGATGCCCCATCCCACGTGTTCCTGGTCCTCCAACCTTCCCAGTTCCCCCAGTTGCTCTCTGGGCTGGTTCTAGGTGGGTTCTGGGTTCCAGGTGCCCCATCCACGTGTTCCTGGTCCTCCAACCCTTCCCAGTTCCCCCAGTAGCTCTCTGGGCTGGTTCTAGGTGGGTTCTGGGGTTCCAGGTGCCCCATCCCACGTGTTCCTGGTCCTCCAACCCTTCCCAGTTCCCCCAGTTATTCTCTGGGCTGGTTCTAGGTGGGTTCTGGGTTCCAGATGCCCCATCCACGTGTTTGGTCCCCCTTCCCTTCCTTCCCTTCCATTGTTTGTCCTGGGCTTCCTTACTCGGTGTGTTTCTGGGTTCCAGGTGCCCATCCCTCCTGGTCCTCCAACCCTTCCAGTTCCCCCCAGTTATTCTCTGGGCTGGTTCTAGGTGGGTTCTGGGTTCCAGGTGCCCCATCCCACTGTCCTGGTCCTCCAACCCTTCCCAGTTCCCCCAGTTATTCTCTGGGCTGGTTCTAGGTGGGTTCTGGGGTTCCAGGTGCCCCATCCCTCCTGGTCCTCCAACCCTTCCAGTTCCCCCAGTTATTCTCTGGGCTGGTTCTAGGTGGGTTCTGGGTTCCAGGTGCCCCATCCCTCCTGGTCCTCCAACCCTTCCCAGTTCCCCCAGTTATTCTCTGGGCTGGTTCTAGGTGGGTTCTGGGTTCCAGGTGCCCCATCCCGGTCCTGGTCTCCACCCTCCCAGTTCCCAGTTATTCTCTGGGCTGGTTCTAGGTGCGGTTCTGGGTTCCCAGGTCCCCATCCCACGTGTTCTGGTCCTCCAACCCTTCCAGTTCCCCCAGTTATCTCTGGGCTGGTTCTAGGGGGGTTCTGGGTTCCAGGTGCCCCATCCACTCCTGGTCCTCAAACCTTCCCAGTTCCCCCAGTTATTCTAGGGCGTTCTAGGTGGGTTCTGGTTCCAGGTGCCCCATCCCACCTTGTTCGTCCTCAACCCTTCCCAGTTCCCCCAGTTATTCTCTGGGCTGTTCTAGGTGGGGT